GGAGATACTCAACATATGCTGGACAATGTCCAAACTATTAGCCTGATGTAGTTCAGAGTCTTAACATTAGATTGCAGTACAGCCTTTTGGTGACATCACATCTTTCTGAAGCTGGGTTTTCAGTGATTGCTGTAATACAAAGCAAGTACCACTTGAAAATCAATGCAGTACAGAAAATGAGGGTGGCACTGTCCAATCTGAGTCCCAGGTTTGAGAAGCTGTCCAACACTCAACAGGCACACACATCCCATTCGTAAATAATTGTGGTTGTTTACAAAGGAAATAAAGTATTTTCAACTTGTTTGCATTATTTTTTTCTTTCTTTTTCTTTTTTTTTTTTTTTTTAGCTGAGCCATCCTGCCACCTGTTGGTAGCTCAGCGGCAGCTCAGCTCGGGCCGGGCATCGAACCGCTGTTGCTCAAAGCTCACACTCTTGAGTGAGCTCTTAACCAACTGAGCCACTCAGCTGGCCCTGCATTATTTTTTTCAAATACCTACTAAAGTTGTTAGAACAGAAATATTTATTGTTTGGACCTATTTAATAAACAGAACTATGGCCTTGGGGTGTTGTGAAAAAATTAATAAGACACCGAGGACTCTATGAAACAATAAAGTTTGGGAACTTCTGGCTTAATGTTGTGACTGGCAGAGGAAGCTTCCAGTAAACGGCACTATTATTACTCCTTTAAAATATGCGGTTTCATAGAAAAGGCGGGATACTTCAGATTCCATGACAAAGATCTCCAGTCCAGGATACTGTCCTATAGTTTTATGGCTCATATTCCCATGATAAAAGAAAAAAATAGGTAGACAAACTCAGATGGACAACCCTGAGGAAAGTCAGGTCTAGAGTTAAGTGATATGGCCTTGCTGTCTATAAAAGTGCACCATGTGGGTGCTGATTTGACTCAAATCATGCTACTGGGAAAACCTGAAAATAATCTTACCACTAGACAGATAAAAGCAAGTAATCCTTATTACCATGTGATATTTAAAAAGAGCAAAAGCTCTGATTTTAAGAGGAACTTACACGCCCTACATCCCCATCTTTTAAACAGGTGATCTATAAGTTCTGTTTTTAGAATCATTCTCCATTTCCCATATGTTGGCCTTCTCTTTAATTATTCCGTAAAGGGTAAATTATTTACCCTTTACTGAAGCAGAAAATGGCTTGAAAAATAATGAGATAGCTTGTAAGTTTAATGCATGTATCTGTTTGACTGGCTCTGTCCTTCCTCTGTCTTTTTGTGTCTACAACTGTAGACAGAACAGGAATACTAAACCCTACACAAAGCTAATGATGTCTTCTTTTATCTCTTAATAAATTAGTTTCCAAGAAAAAATATGTAGTGTTATAACTCGCTGGACATCACACTTGCTGCTTACACTGATCCAGGCACTAATCATGGAGTATCCATGTGCTACACTGAATCACTGCTCCATATACATCAAATTTTGAGTTTACTTGAACATTTTTCTGGACTAATACTTATTTTCAAAAATGAATAACACTATAAAAAGGTACACTATGAAAACACATATTCACTTAGATCTAAGGATAAGAATGTTTCAGGGTTTTAACAAATAAATGCAATAAAAGAAATCAATAATGAAATTATTTTCCAGTTAAGAAAAGTAATTTTAAAGCAAATTGTTAATACTATTTACAGAAGTCATATATAACATTCAACAATTTTAACTGTCATTTCACAGAGACCTTAAAAATGTGGTTATAGTTATTTCCACTAGGGTTTTTCAGAAACAAATCCAAACAATATATAATATGCATCTTCTGTGTCAGCAGTTCAGTCAAATAGCAATTCTTTAAAAGACAGGAAATAATTTTACAGGAAAAGATATCATATTTTCAAGTACAGCAGTTCTGTCAACTTTGAAATCTAGTTTAGGTTCGTCTTCTCCCCTGTGTCACTTATTTAATAACCATGGATTCTGCAAATACGAGTAAAACACTGGACTGAGCACTCGGGAAACGAAGATGACTAAGCCATGGGCCTTTTCCTCAAGGAGTACAGCATCCAGACACCCAAACACAGTTCCACGTGAAGTCAAAGTGCTGTACTAAAAGTGTTATGGGGACACTGGCACTTGGTTCAGGCTGAGGGTTTCAAAAAACTCATTATTGACCCCATAAAAGGCAATAATAACATTATAATTCTGGACACCTGGTTATTTTGGATAAAATTTGGAAGCTGAAAGTTATCCCGTAATCTATCGTAAAAAGCCCTACATAAATTCCAGTCAGAAATTATCATCCCAACCTAATTATATCTGAATCTTTGGCAGGGCTGGAGCCCAGGCCCCAGTATTTGTAAAATCTCCCAGATGATTATGATGTGTAGCCAGGGCTGAAAACCACTGGCTCACTGATTGGATTAGTCATAGCATCATGACTGGTTTAAGCTTAGAATCCTATCAACAGAAAGACAAAGCCTTGAGGCTGAATTAGTGGACACTGGGTCCTTAGCAGGATCCATGAGCTGAGATTACTTTCACTGTATTTTCACTTACACCCCATTTTTTGATATGTGCTAATAATATGAAAGGAAAGATTTCATATTGGGTATCTCATGGCACGCTGGCATAAGCCAAGAAAATTAAGTGACTGCCAATCCTCAACAATGGGTATTGCCCAAGATGTCTAATTTTTTTAACTTTACTCTTTAAAGCCAGGGCAACTAGAAATCATAAGCTCTTGGTACATAAAGACTGAGTCCTCCTAGTCACTTTCATCATCTACTTTTTAAAAATAATACCTTGCATACAAGCATGTGGAGAGCACCAAAACCAGCATATATAATAAAAATTGTTCATCTTTGATACAGACTGTTTTACAAAAGGGAGGGAAGGAAGGAAGATACAAGAGTGAGCTAGAGGAGGAGGGTGGGGCAGGCTCTCATGAAGGAAGAAGACGAGTTGGAACAAACAGGCTTGGGCTGGAAAGGTAGAGAAAAGCCTTCTAACAGCATTGGAGAAAGGGCATGACAAGGAACAGCATGATGATGAAGGTTGGAAAAAGCATGGTACTTTGGGAAAGCACTGAGGAAACACCAGTGTCTCCTTAAAGGAGATCAATGTGGACAAACAGGGTAGGACCAAACTGTGGAAGGCCCTGATTAGCAGGCTGAGGAGTCTGAACTTAACCTCACTGAAAAATGGGGTTATACTTCTGCTTAATATCAAAAATGTTTCAGGAGACTCTTGATAGATTAATATGCAGGATGCGTTGAAATTCAAGAGGCTGGGATTGCTGAAGATACAGAGAACACTTCGATATTTTCCAAGCACAGTTCCCTGAACATAGCAAGCATTTTAAAAACATGAAGGTTTTAAAAATGAACACTGCAACACAGTAGACACCTTGGTATCACTCCAAACTTAAAGTTAAATTAATTTTATAAGTCAAATGATTTATAAAAAGGTCTGTTAGCTCTTAAACATTAATATTTTAAGCACTGCTGTAAAGTTTATAGTAGGAAAGCTAATAACATTCTCAAGAGATTATACATCCATTTATGCTAGCTTTACAGAGCAAGGCAATAGTCAAACTTTTTCCTCTTGAAAGAATTACTAAATCTGATGAAAACAAATAGAATTCATAAATAGTTAAGACAATATTTTTTATATTCTTTTTCTTTAAAAATGAATGTTAATGCCAAAATGGATGGTTTAGGGATTTTTTTTTTTAAATCATTTTTTGGCATAAAAGAGGGTTACTGGAGGTTTGGAAGAATGATTATCCTTAGGTTTCCTGACCTTAGGGTAAAGTAGAGCAATAACCCTAAATAACTATAGGTAATGCATGTAGTTGAAATTTTGGAACCCTATTATTACCAGCAACCACAATTAAACAAATCATTTAGAATTTAGAAAAAATAGGAAATTGAGTAATGTCATCAAAAAACACAAGCAGCTGAATTTAAACCTTTCCCCCAGATATTTTTAATTAAAAATTCATCAGTATTAAGAATTATATTTGTAGTATTAACGAATTCTATGCAAACTGATGTCACAGCAAGTTATATTTTGGTTTACTTAAGTATAAAATCCAGTTTAAATGAATTAAGTCCATACTGGTTGAGGATAATTCACACGATTAATACTTGTTTCCTAGAACACATATAGCTCCTTCCTATGTGCCCCTACGTAGCAAAAACATGATAAATAACAAGTAGATCACTAGAAAGCTTTTAAAAGCACAACCACATTTCAAATAACCCCAAACTTATCTGCCAAAATCTTATATTAAGAAAGAAATGTAATATTCAAATTAATCTTATTTTTAATTTCAACCATTTGCCCACAAAATAACCCACACCACACTAACTAATCTACTATTTTGTGTGTGCCTGTGTGCGTGCATGTATGTGTGCGTGTACATGTGTGTACGTGTATGCATGTGTGTGTGGTGCAGTGCAGTAGTCCTTTTCTTTAAAACAGACTATCAAAATAATTTTTACAATAATATGAAATCAATCACATATCCCACATGAAATTTTAGAAATTATTCACAATTCTCTCAATAAAAACATAAGGTTCTCACCATAAGACACTCCCAAAATTGTAGATAAACAAATACTCTTATAGTTCATTACTATAACTGACCAGTAAGAAACTCTGTTCATTACAGTAAAAATGTCAAGCAAGTCATTTTATAAGTATACGCGATGTGATATAAACTACAGCAATATTTTCTTGGAAAGAAAAATTTACTTTTAGAAACCTAAGAACCCACTAAAGCAAAAACCTGTAACCGAAATGTGCATCTTCTCCCACCCCCAACAAAAAGCTGCAGCAGGGGAAAGAAAAGGAAATCAAAATTTAAAATAAAATAAGGTTTGATTAAAAGACAACAGAAGCATAATCTGCTAGATGAAATACAGTAAGGGGGTGGTCAGGGTCTTTTTAAAAATGGTTTAATCTGAATTATTCCAAATCAAAAGCGAGACCACGATCCGTTGCGCTATTAACAGATGACTTACAGAGCACGGCTACAGCCCCAGACTCGAACATGAGACATTCTTCCTTATGCCTAGTTTCCACTATGAGACTGAAAGGTGGGGGATCCAATTTGTGATAGATCCGAAATCCTTTGCTGAACGCCATTCTCCTTTCTTCAGAGGCAGCCCTGAAAACCAAGCAAAGCAAATGAGGCTTATGTTTTCTTCTGCAGCAAGGACTGCAAGGCATCCTAAGTCCCTCCCTGCCAGGTTTTGATTGGGGGGGGGGGGGTGTTGGGGGGGGGAGAACGCTCAGGAAGAGAATGGTTTATTCCAAAAGATAAGTCGTCATTTAATTTTACCAAAAAGCAAGAGGGGAAAAGCTACCAATATGCTGGGCAAGGCAAGACAAGGTTTTATCACTTTAAGTCGATGAACGGTTTGGTTAAGATGAGTTTCCCGTTTACTCTCTGTTTACCAAAAGGAGAAATTTTGAGGCTATTTCGTTCCGAGTTGTTTATCAGCTTCCTGCTTCAGTATTTGCCACTACGGTGAAAGGGAAACAATTCGGAAACTTCAAGCCGTTCGTTTGGAAGCCAAGGAGAGGAGGTGGGAGGGAAGGTTAACGAGGCTGGTTCAAAGCTCCTTAGGGGGCGGGCGGAGGGAAAGGATTATCTGACACCACAGGCTCTCCTGGGGGCGGCGGCGAAGAGCAAGGGAAGCTGCACAGGTTATCGCCGCCACCCGCCCAGCCCCAGGCCACCGCCGGCTGGAGGGACGGCGGGCGCGAGATCGTAAATATGAATGGCCACCTGGGCAGAGTCACGACTCGGGACACGGACCCGACCAGGGCTCCTCGGGGGTCGCAGACAGTCGACCGCCCGAGAAAGCGGCTCCTTCACAGGGGGACGGAGGTGCCGAGCAGCCCAACCCGTCCTTTATGGGCCAGAAGAGACTCGGTTCCAAGCCGGCGCCCACACCGACTCGGTTCCTTTCCCGCGGGCAGGCTGACAGCTGCTGTCACCACAGCCCCCCGGCCGACGCCGCGCCCCGCACAACCCGTGGTTTCCAGACAACCCCGCCCGCTCTCCCGGACCCGGCTGGCCGCGGTCACCCCTCACCGCTCCTTCCCAGGCTGCGACTGCGGAGACTGCCTCAGGAGGCGTCCGCCCGCGCTCCCGGCTCTCGGTGGGTCTGGCCGCGACCGCTCCCCGCCCCCCGCCGGCTCGCTCACCTCTTCCTCCGGCTCCTCCTCCTCCTTCTCCCGCAGCCGCTGCCGCCGCAGCCACCGGAAGCGTCACTTCCGCTCCAACAGGCCCATCTCTTCCGCATTGCGCTGCGGGCGGGGGCGGAAGGTCCGCCCTTCGCGGGGGAAAGGGCGGTGCGTCGGAGGGAGGCCCCGCCCACCCCGGCCTCCCTGTGAGCCAGGTGCAGGTGGGCTGTCCGCCGCCTCCACGCGCAGCCACCTTAGCCTCGGGTGGCGTGTCCCCAGGCTGCAGCTGCAGGTCCCACCGCTGGGGATGCCGGGAAAGGGAGGATCCGCTCTGGTCCCCCTCGCGTGGGCTCTTCAGTGCTAACCAACCCTCCCCCTGGACGCCAGGGACTCTGGGGAAAAGCTCTAGGAGCTGAGTATTGGTACGCACCCAAGATGGGTGTCAGGACCACCCCCAGCCGCCCCCACCGGGCCTGACGGACGTGGGGCAGGGCTCCGGGGAGTCAGCACGCGAGCCAACCAGGCGGCGCCTGAAGAGCTGTCCATGGTGTCTGTCCGCGAACAGCGCCGAGTTCTCATGCTGAGGTTCTGAGGAGGTGGCAGGAAGAAACATTAATGCCTGCTTTGGAACAACTCTGTTAGCTGCCTTTTTTTTCTGGTGTGTTCTGGAGCTCTCAGGGCTACTGTAGAAAAGAGCGCTCAGCTGTACCTTATGGTGGCGAGTGGGAAGTCACAAACCAGGATCTCAAGGTTGAGTGAAAAAACATGGCTGGCGGCACAGAGGCCAAGGCAGCTGATGGTCACTGAACGGCGGACAGATTTTGCCAACCGTGGAATCTGATAACTAAAGGCGTGTAACCCTTTCGCCTTATCCTCATATTTCAACAAATCATGCTTCCTGGCGAGTATCAGTGTTCCAGATTTTTCATTCTGTCTCCTTAATATATCTAAATATGAGAATGAAGTTAAAGCCAGCAGAGCCAAAAGGAATCGAAAACCTGAAGAACCCAGCCCTCTGAGAAACTGTTTCCTCTTGCCTGTGCTTTTTCGTTACTTCTTCCCCGTAGTGCTTTAATTTTAACAGCAGAAGCAGAATTTAAATTTGGCATTTGCACAAAATCATTTCCCCGTTCCAGGCCCTGTCATGTGACTTGATTTAACATTTCTTCATCCATTTTAGAGAAGTTGAACCCACCCTGGTTTCAGGATAACTACAGTAGCTATAATTCATTAGAAAAGAAGCCACTTCTTTTTTAGGAGATATGCAAAGGCACTTCGATTTAGTTCTGAAAACTGGAAGAGATTTCTCTCTCATTTGGTATTATCTCCTTAGAAAAACAGTTTTGCTCTTTGTAGTGGTTACTGACAGCAGTCTCAGAATTAAACTCATATTAAGATAATCTACTGGCCTGAGATTGCTTATTTTTCTTTCTGGAAGAATCCATTTCAATTGGAGATTGCATTTGATAGAGAAAACTACATGGGAGTGGGTGAGAATAGAATTTTTCTTATTTGCCTTTCAGATATAATGTCTCTATGGCCTCGAAGTGCCAGAGCTTTGTACCAGAAAAACACGGAAGATCCTGGCTCCGGGAGAGATGCTGATGGTGTGGAGTACATTGCTAGCAAGTTGCTTTTTATGACAAGACCGACCCAAAAAGGTTAACTTGTTAAGAATTACTGTTTCAAGTAGAGTTGGGACCTGAAACCCAACTATCCCACCCCAAACCTAAGATCCCTTCCATCACACCTGTGTCTGGGTGAGGTTACATTAGGAACCCTTCCTTTCTCAGAGAGGGAAGTGGGCTGTTAGGCTCTTTGAGAAGCAAGTATTCTGCCTATTCCGGTTTCTTTTGATTTGGGATTAAGGAGATTGAAGTCCAAGTTTCTTGGTTCTGGGTCTGAATTGCTGCTGCTTTCTTCAAATTAAACCGGGTGGTAAGCAGGACTCATTCCTAGAGGTGGCAGAAGGCCACCGCTTTTTCAAATCCTTTCAAAATTCATCATTTTAGCCATGAAATAAGCACATATCCAGGGTTTGGAAACATAATGGCTATTTTACTAGTGACTTTTTAAAACGGTTATTCCTTCTTTTTCTTGTCCCTCTTTCCTATTTTTCTACTTCCTTGTTCATCACAGCATTTGAAAATAGCTGGCCATCAGGGATAGACAAGACAGTCTGGGGAATATAATCAATAATGTTGTGAATATTTTTTAGGGGGCCAGATGGACCCATGTCCTGTTGGGGAGACCACTTCATAGTCGGTGTAGAGGCCTGACCACCGCACTGTATATCTGAAATTGATGTTGAATAATAAAGTATGCCAACTATAATTATATATACATAGTCACGAGACGGGGAGTAGAGAGTGGGAATGGAGTCAATGGAATTGTAATAGATAAGCATGATATCGGGGGTAGGAGGACAGTAGATGGGGGGAGGGGAGTTGTTACTTTGTGAGGGGTGAAAAGGATAACTATTGCATTTTTCTGTACACCTGAAACAATAAAATTAAAAAAAAAAGCTGGCCAAATGTTCACCAAATTTGAAGTGTCTTTGGGATGGGCTGTCTTAAAATACAGGTTAAGTGGCATACCAATTTCTTAGTGAGGTCCTAAGGGCCTACAGAAACGGGCTGACATTTTCTTGACCCTTGAAAATGAGGAGTAATGTCTATGGTAGGCTGCAAAATACCATGGACAAGATATCCATGTCCTAATCCGTGGCACATGAGTGTTAAAATATGGTGAAAACAAGTCTTTACAGAAGTGATTAAGATTTTGAGATTAATTTGGATTCCCTGGGTAGGCCCTAAATAGCAGAGGGAGATCACACACACACACACACACACACACGCACGCGCGCGCGCGCGCCCGCGTGTGTGGAAACAGAGGTAGATTGGAGCAATGTAGCCACTACAAAATGGTCTGACATAATCCATGAGTGGCAACACACCCTTTACTATATGGCTATTACCATGTTAGAGATGAGAAGAGTTCTTATAACCATAATCACTACAACGTAGCAACTTACATTTTCATATTGTATTTTGCAACTCTACATTTGACCATTTTTATAGTAGGGTTTCATGATTTCAAGGGAAATTAGCATTTAAAACAAAATTAGGCACTTGTCAGAACTCACTGAATTATACATACTCAGAGTAAACTCTACTGTTTATAAATGAGTACTTCAATAAACCTGGCTTTAAAAAATGAAGGAAAGCCTACATTTAGTATATTCTCATGAGGAAGGTACTTGCTTTAAGAATTGTGCAATTGGGGTCAAGTCTGGGCGATGAGGTGATCACTGCAGGCAACGGTGCTCAAATGAACGGAAGTGTTCTGGGAGCTGTTTTCCTGGGAGATTAGGAAGTTGATGTGGTAGACAAGAAATGATGCCACTCAGGAGCCCTTGATTGTACCAGGCACACTCCCCAAGAGCTGATCTCCACCAGCGACTGTGTGGCGGGAAGGCCTGCTCCTGGAGACATGGGGCTCCTCAGAAGAGTAACTCTGGGTTGAGTACTCAGCCAGCCTTGCTGAAACTTCCTTAGACCTGTGCCCACATCTGAGACCTTTAATTCCTTCCCTGCCTGCTTCACACAGGTCCCACCTCACCTCACACCTCAGATCGCTCAGCTCTCGAGCTCTCCCAGCCCCCTCTCCTTTTGCCCTAAGAGGCGTTCCCACCAATAAATCTGTTTTATCTAATGCCATCTCAGTGACTCCTTCCCAGAGGACCTGGACTAACTCATAGGGTTTTTCATCCTCCCACTCCCTTTCTTTGGTTAAGGGCTGCTCAAAGGGACATTATCTGGTGGACACTTGCAGCCCATTGCATAGGCCAAGAGAAAGTCCTCAGGCAGAATTGCAGTGGGACACCATGGCATCAACAGGGACATAGGTGGGGCACCATCATCTGGTACAATAGTAGTAATCAGTCTTTATGACTGGTTTATATTGCCTCAGTAAAATAACTTTCCCTTTCGAAAACCTTCCTCGCCTATTTTGGAGTTAATTCAGAAGACTGCTTCAAAAGAAAAACCTGAAAAGACAAAACTTCAGCTTTATTAAAATGTCACCCACTGAATTTACCTTTTGACAATTCCCTTCATAAGAAAGGATATCCTTTAGCTATTTCAGAAATAAAATTTTTCTGGCTGAGATACGGAGACCACTTCTTTTATACACGATTCTATGCTAAATTTAGTTTACATCAAAGTCGTAGTGGTGTTCAAACCCATTCCTGAAACCAAAACAGCCTAGTGGAGTGCATGGGATAAAAAGTCCCGAAGTTTACCCCAAGAGTCCTTAAAAGTAGATATAGAAGTGATCAGTCTGTGGGTTTGGAAACACAAATTTAAGGCACAAATGTTGTGCATATACACATATATTTATATGTGTATATATATTACATATGCATATATATACATTTATATATATATATAATATATACATTTTATATGTTTTATTCCATTAAAATTGAAAATAAGTGTTCTCATTTTAGTAGGCCACTAAGGTATAAAAAAATTAATCCAAAATGAGTATGTAGGGATAAGCCACATTTCTACAAAATCAAACTGACAGAGCATTCAGAGCATATGACACTGTTCTAAATATTCTTCGAGTTGACCAAGAATACACGTTAATAGTCTCACTATATTAGGCTCATTTTAAATGCTCTAATTTCGCCAGCAAAATACAACAAAGTGTATAATTAAAAATTAATTTAATGCTTGGCTAAAGCTTAATTACATATATAATTATCAAACAATAGTCCTTAATTTCCAAAAAGTTCCTCTTGAAAATCACAGAATCAGAAAGCATAAACTTTAAAACAAGTTCTCTGAATATTTACAACGTGGTATGAACATTATAGAAGACCATGGGTATTAAACTGCCTGGGTGTGGCTAATTAGCAAGGCGTATTCTTTATTGCATATATAACTCACATATGTGGGATTTTAAATATAATGACAGACTACTAAAATTCAAATGCATGTATGTGTAAGCTGGTCAGGGAGTAAAACCATGAATGAGACAGGACAGTCGGCCCAAAACCATGCAGTTAGGTTGTGGGTCTATTATTTCCAAAAATTAAACTTCTAGGTTCTGTTCAAAAACCGATGTTGCATATATTATTGAGTTCACATTAAACCCACATTTGACTGTAATGCTGATTCAATCAAGGAAGAAAGTTCACCATTCACCCAATGATTAAGTCCACACTCAACTCTCAGTTTTAAGGCAGCTCAGCTAGTGATAAGCAACTGCTAACCGAAAGGTGATGAACACTTAGTCACTTGCCAGCCCTTTTGTTGCAACAGTGTAGTAATTTCCCTAAGACAATTTGCTACTGAATAATTTTCTGCTGTTAAAAGGCTTACTCTGTAGAAAAACACCACAAATTTCCAGTGTGAAAGTAACTCCATGGTGGTATAAATATATATATGCATAATTACACAATTTACACTGCACACATCATTTACAGAGAACAATTAGCTGAGAGGGTTAATTTGAATAACCATATAAAATACTTCTGTAAACAAAGTATGACAGGCAGTAAGGAAAACATTCATAAACTTCCTAGAAATAGTCTGAATTCCTTTCATTTCGAAGAAATCGCATTTAAGGACACAGTATTGAATATTAATAATGTTCTTTGTATTAAAACAAGAATCAGTATTTTACAGTTTAAGAAACTTTACATATATACAAAATTTATACACCGGGAATGGTATTAAAGCAAATAGGCTTTTCAGTCTCACAGATCTATTTTCCTTCAATCAAAGACTTAAATTCTTTCACATTATGGTCACTTGCAACAGACGTAGCATGATCCAGAGCTCGAATACTTGCAAGGAGTTTTATTATCTGTTTTATGTTTTCCCTAAAAGAGAGAAAAAAAAAATGTAGCAGCATCTCATTAATTAGTATAAAAGCCTGAGAGGAAAAATCTGTTATTAACTTTATGACTATTTTTGAGGTTTTGCAATCAATTTTTCCAAGCATACAATTTTAAAGAAGGAAAACAGAGATAAGCAAGCTTCAGTATGTTAACAAAAAAAAGTTATTTATCCACATAAAACTGTGTATGTTTAAATGACTACCCCAGAGACAGAGGACCCATTTTCAAAACAAAAACACCCCAAAATTTCATTCAGATAAATAATTTTCATTAATACCCAGAGAAGAAAAAAAGCAATCTATTTCCAAACTATTTCAGGGCCCTGCCTTCCATTCCTTCCCATAGCAGAGTCCCAGTTCTTTCAGAATATACTGGAACACCAATTATATTCGTGTGGATTCATCATTCATCACCAATCCACCAAGACACAGCGTAAGTTCCACTCCTCCAAAATTCACTAGTGAAGAATAACCTGGCTTCCTCATCACCCCTGCTAGAAGTAATTCTGCCTTCTCACTAGGTAATCCTCAAATATTAGCAAACATCAGAACAAGCTAGAGGGTAGTTAAAACACATATGACCAGGCCCCACCCCCGAAGTTCTGATTCAGCAGGTTGGGGAAAGGCCTGAGAACCTGCATTTCTAACAAAGCTCCCAAGTGATGCTGACCAATGCTGTTGGTCCAGGACTGCATTTTAAGATCAACTATTTTAATATTTAGTTTGAACCACTTGTGAGAAATAGCACGTAAAGTGACATTAGTTGTCTCTTCTCTAACAAAACTGTAGTTAAGTACCTTTTAGGAAAGGATTATAATTTGTAAAACTTTGCAACTAAAGTGGAACCTGTTTTTTTTGCACACAGCAGGTGCTGAAGTTCTCTTATGTAGAAAAGTAAATATTGTTTGTTGATGTAAAACTCCAAACAAAAACAGTGTTAAATACATGTAAATCACAGTTTAAAAAGCCAACAGGATTTAGCTAAGAAAATACAACACCTTGGAAAGAAATATTAATGCCAATAAATAACAACCAACACCATAAGGACACACTAAAAATGAAATTAAAATATAAAACAAAATTTTCTGCCAAAGAATTTTACCACTAAAATCTATACTATCTACTTTGCTTTTAATTTTACCATAAAAAATAGCAAATTTTCTCTTAAGAAAATAAGGTTCTTTTTCATGGAAGGGAAATGAGGAAAAAGGTTTTGTTATAGGTGCATAATTAATGGTGTGATCTAAACAAAAATGAAAATATATTAGGAAGACTGTATGAAAGGAAAATTTTTTTAAATTCTTTCAAATTGCACTAGGTATTATTTACTTTTTATGCTAGAGATTTATCCCAAAATTACATGGACATCCAAAACAATGTCCAAAAAAGGGAATGCTGCTTCCCTTCCTTCCTCCCTCGCTTCTTTCCAATGCTTGATAGAAATTATGTATAAGATGCTCCTCAAAATTCCTCAGTGATGCCCTTTAGTCTATGATGTGGATACAGAAAAACTCAACATGGAGCACAAATGTTTGGGATATAACGTTCAATACACTTTGGGTTTCAGTGACTGTCTTTTCCAGGGTTTGTATGTGTATAATGAATCTCCAAAGACCAAGACCCATGACATTCTAAGAGCCTGAGAGCTCCCCAACTCTTCAAAGGAGGGGACAGGAAACAATGATTATCATTCTCATTAGGGCTAGTCCTTACCAGAAGTCTTTTCTTACCACCTTCATAAACAGCCTATTGAAAAAGATTAGGTAAAACCACAAAAATTAAAATTGTGTATTTTTGGTGTGTTTACCAATATTAAGTCAACGTACAGTTTAAACCAAAAGATAAACATGTCTCTACTTAAAGCATTTAACACTACTAAATCTGACAACTAAAGACTCTGGATCACCATTTCATTCAATAATCACAAATAATTACCTTGCATTTCTTTTTTCCACATCAGAGCATCCTATGCTGTTTCTGTAAATTGTATCTGCTAAGTGTACAAGGTATCGACAAAAGTTTTCTAACTGAGAAATAGTTCTTTCTCCCTTCAGATTCATGAACCACTGCTTGGGGAAACAATTAATTACCTATGGAGAAATAAGATACAAAATAAAATAGTTAAAACAGAATAAAAGAAAATGTTGAAATGGTGAGTCTAGATAATGGATGTAATGTATTTAACTAGAAGACTTGTTACTGGGCTTTATATAACTGATTACTTTGAAGGGATTATTATTTTCAACTTGACTTCCTACGTTAACTATACATTTTTCATCAATATATCTGAATTTTTACTCAACACATAGGTCAGGTACTCAAAGCAAAAGACAAATAATTTGTCTGATATTTAATTATATTAGGGACATAAAACTGATAACCAATTGCTTCCTCTTCCAGTTTTTCAGGAAGCCGTAAATGAACTGAGTTCTCCTTTAGCAGCAGCTTTTGATTTAAAAACGTGTAGTATAAATATCAAATTATAGCCTCTCCCCATGCTGAACAATTTAGTCAGCACGCATCCATGCTGGCAGTGGGAGCTATGTTGGCCTAGAGTGGGGTGAAGAGAGCATCACAGCAGAGGACAGCCTAGGGCAAGAGCCTAAGCAGGGTGAAAAGAGCACAGTGGCAGAACAAAGCCCAAGCGAGCGGAGGCCGAGTCCCACATGGGAGAGGACAGCCTGCTAGGGGTGTCAGTCCAAGTGGGTAGAGAAGGCACCCCACTAAAGAACCCACAGATGCTTGGAGAAATGACTGATTTCAGGACTGGGGTAAGGCAAGTAGCAGATGAGCCTGAACATCCTGTGCCAGAAGGCAAGAAAGTGCTCCCCCAGAATGAGAGGACATGTCACGAGGTCACAGAAGTCAACTGGAAGGGCCTGCCACTGATGAAATCTGAGGCAATTCCTGCCAAAGATGCAGCTCTGAATCTAATGCAAGAATATCAGACAAACCCACATTAAGGGATATTCTACAGAATAACTGGTCTATCATCTTAAAAAATGTCAAGGTTATAAAGGCCAAGAAAAGACTGAAGAACTCTTGTAGATTAAAGGACACTGAAGAGACATGACAACTAAATGCAAGGGATGATCTGGGAATTTTTTTGCCAATCATGGATACTATTGAGATAACTGACAAAACTTGAGGAGGCATCTATGGATTAGGTTACAGTAATATACAGATGTTAACTTACTGATGTTGATGGTTATATTGTATCATGTTGAAGAATAGCCATGTTTATAGGAAATAACACAAAAGTATTTGAGGGTGAGAGGGTATCATGTCAGAGACTTTGACATGGCTCAGGAAAAACACTGTACTACACTTGCAAATTTTCTTTAATTTTGTGTTTCAGAGAATTATTTTTTTAAAAGATCAAATTATTTAACTTATGTATAAAGCAGAAAACAAAACAGTATTAAAGAAAAGTATTCTTTAAATGTGAAACCATTTACCATTTCCTTAGTAACACTCAAAATACAATACCATTCATTCAACTGTTAAAACTATCCTGAAATTTAAATTTGTAACAATACCTGCAAAAATACTGATATAGATATATGGATATTAGATAGATACACACATATACAATAGTACAAATTTTTACATGAAAAATTCTATGGGGGTATGGAGCTACCTGAGTAGTCAAACTGATCGCCAACCTTGCACCAAGTCCAATAATCAAAAGGGATTCTGTAAAATCTCAAATCTCTTCAAACAAAGAAAACAGTTCATTTTAACTTATGTGCTTTGAAAACTAAGACATGTGTCGCTTAACTCACATTTTGGACTTTTTTGATGCTGTCATCTCCATATTCTGAATTCTGAAAAGCCATGAGAATGTATCTATTTAATAAACCATCTATTGATAACTCCTGAAGAGTTTTATTCGAGAAAATGCCGTACCATTGAAGAAAATTCCCTAATAGCTAGAAAGAAGAAAAAAAAATTACTGAGAGGCAATAGTAAGCAATTAAATTAGGTACAAAATAAATTAGTTACACAGTAAAACACCTTATGAAAGAAACATGGTGAACCCTGTCTTGCCAAAGTACTAATAAATACTTTTAAAGGGCAAATATTTCCTAGAATGACTGAGGACTTGAATTTTACATTTTAATTAATTAACTAAAATTTAAATAGCCACATGCAGCTAGTGGCTGCTTGCTGTATTGGACAACACATACAGAACATTTTCCACCATCACAGAAAGTACTACTGGGCAAGTGCTGATTCTCAGATAAATGTCCTCCATTCAAAGTCATGACTAAGCTACTCCTATGACCTCCCCAAAAGACGTAAACTCTGACTACAATAATTCATGTCTACCAGATGTCAAGAACTTGGACTGAGCTATGTCACTTGGATAACCCAGGCTACTAAAGCTCAAGACACATAAAATGGAAGCCCTAGCATATCCCAATATAAAAATTTCTCAACTCAGTAAATAACAACACTGTCCAACCAACTCATCAGGCCAGAAGCCGGCATGTCATTCTTAAGCTCTCCCTCAAGACGGGGTTTGACCCCACCTCCATCATTCTGTGTATTTCTCTCTGTTCCCTCTGCCACCTCTCCAATCTAAGCCACCATTACTGTATTTTGCCGTGTATAATGAGTACTTTTTGCCCAAATTTGTGAGGGAAAAATAAGGATGCACATTATACATGGGCAGTACTAATTCCACTTCCCTGAAAGTTTGGGCCAAAAATGTGGGTGCGCATTATACACAGGAGTACATTATACGGCAAAATAGGGTATCTCTTTCTGGACCCTGCAGCTATTCAAGTGATTAAGAGCTCTGGAATAGTCTTTCTCAAGCAGGGTTTCGTGAGAAAATTAAACCTGTAGAAAATGATTTGAGTGATTACTTAATTTTCCCAAGGATAGTGCACAGCTATTAATAGTACCATTCTAGATGCAAAGGAGAGAATTCATCATATATGACGGAGGCCTTAGGCACTGGGTATTAATTCTTTAACCCTGTTGAGAAAAGCTGCTGAAGAGTCAGACTGGCCTGAGCGCGATTCCCATCTTACCACTTACCAACAGAATGACCCTGGGCAGAGTATTCTGTGCCTCACTGTCTCATCAGCAGAGTGAGAATAACAGTGTCTAGCCCATAGGGCCGTTCAGGTAACTTCCCTGCTATAAAAACCCTTTTATGACCCACACATATGCGGTCAATTGTTTTCAACAAAGGTACAAAAGCAATTCAATAAAGAAAAGGATAGCCTTTTCAACAAACAGTGCTGGAACAAACAACTTCAAACCAGGCTCACACCCTGTATAAAAATTAACTCAAAACAGATCACAGATTTAAATATAAAACCTAAAGCTATGAAACTTCTAGGAGAACCGACAGGAGAAAAATTTGGTGGCCTTGTTTTAAGCAAAGATTTCTTAGCTATGACTAGGTACCTAAAGTAAAAACCTTAACAGGAAAGAGCAATAAATTGGAATCCATCAAAATTATGAACATCTACGCTTTGACAGACTGTAAAGAGAATGAAGACAAGTCACAGATGATGGAAAAAAGGAAAACTTTGCAAATCATATATCTGACAAAGGCCTTGTATCCAGAATACAGAACTCAAAGCTCAGTAATACAAAAAACCCAATTTTTAAAAATGAGTAAATGATTTGAACAGATACTTCACCAAACAACATACACATGTGGCACATAAGCACATGAAAACATGCTCGACACCATCAGTCATTAGGGAACTGCAAATTAAAACTGTAATGAGATACCACTACACACTTAATAGAATAACTTAAAAAAAATGGAACTGACAATGCCAAGTGTGGCGTGTGGTGAGAATTGAGGACTGCCCAAAAAACTAGTGTAGAACACCAAGATATTGCTGGTTTGGAAAATGGCTCTGCCTAGGTATTTACCCAAGGGCACTGAAAACTTATAGACCCAGATACACTATGTGCACTGCGGCAGCTTTATTCATAATCACCCCAAATTGGTAACAATCCAAATGTCCCTCAATTGAGGAATGAATAAAACACAAAGCAAAGAAACTGTGGCATATCCACTAAACAGAATACTACTTAGCAATAAAAAGCAATGAACTACTGACAACACGCAACACTGATAAAGTTCAAATGCATTATGTGAAGTGAATGAAGTCAGATTCGAAAGGCACCTACCATGTAATTCCATTCTTAAGACATTTTTGCAAAGAAAGCCACAGGACAACAAAAACGGACTGGCCAGGATGTAGGGGTGGTCCTGACTACAAAGGGGCATGGGGAATTTGGGGGGATGATAAAAGTATTATAGATCTTGATTTGGGTAGTGATTACATGACTGTATTCATTCATCGAAACTAATAAAACTACACACTAAAAAGAGTGAATGTTAACGTATGTAAATTATACCATAATAAAAAAAATAAATGGAAAAAAGAAATCCTTCTGTGGCTTCCTACAACTTTTAGGATGAAGACCAGTGTTCTCCACATGACTTAGTAGCTGCTTTCTCATCTGGACTGCTTAGTTCATCCCTAACTCTAGCCGTCCTGGACTTTTCTCAGTTCTTCCAGCATGCCCTGCTCTCCCTCACCTCAGGGCCAACTCCTATTCATTCTCCTGGTCCAGAGGCTCTCAACCTGTGGGTCGTGACCCCTTTGGGGGTCGAACAACCCTTTCACAGGGGTTGCCTAAGACCATCGGAAAACACATATTTTCGATGGTCTTAGGAACCAAGACACCGCTCCTCTATCCGTCTCCATGCTTCAAGACAAAATTTCACTTATTTGTAATTAGAAATAAATATTTCACAATATATAATTAC